TTCCCCTCCATCTTGAGACTTGTCTCCATTTTCACATTTCTCTTCCCATTTACAATAACCGTGTATACAACTACCATTCCAGCAAAACGCAGCTAGTCACAGACTGCAAATGCTATTTTTTTTATTGGAGGGGAATGGCATGTAGTCTCCTACTCTTGGTTGGGGGATTAACAGTTACACTTTTATTTGGAACATAACGTGTTTTAATTGTTTGCCAAGCTACTAGCTAACAGACCGACTGTAATGTGCAATAGTGACTGCTATGCCCATTTTTCCTTAAAAGTGATAAAAGTTAAACAATGACATCTATGCAAGTGCTTTGTTATCAGTAAAACTGGAATAAGTGGAGGTAGAAGGTTAAAATATGAGTTCATGGGAAAGATGAGAGAAAAGTGCATTTCCCATGTAGAAAAGATGGGCAGTGGCTCAGTTACTGTTTTTAGAGAGCTTAGCAACTGAAATGGAAAACATCAACTTTCTATTTAAACTTTTCTCTGTAGTGAACCTTCATGAGATGCCCCCTCCTTTGTTTTACATGATGCGCTTCTTACAACAAATCCTCCCCTATTAGTTTTGTGTTCTCTTGGATTTCTGTAATATTGTTTCTGTAGCTGATTTGTGGAGTACCCTAAAATTGTCTTCAGTGGAATGCAACAAAAGAAAACCAGTGCAAGTTAACTTTTGAAAACAATCCAAAAATTGACTGTTAAGATTATGACCACCACAATAAGCACACAAAAGAGAATTTTAAATCATGAAACTGTCCCCAATGCCTGGTTCTCTAAGTTGCTATTCCTGATTTTTTTTTTGTTTTGTTTTTTAGACCTCTTTGACATTTACCAATCTTCAAATGAGTGCAAAAACCACCCATTATCTTCAGTGATGCTGGATTAGGCTCTAGGTCCGCATCAAAAAACTGTATCCTTACTCTTATTTCAAAAGAAAAACAAACCACTGAATAACTTCTGTGAACTAGAATTTGAAAAAAATAAAAAAAAAAAGCAAAACTTTCCAGTGGATAAAAAGCATATAGTACTTACAACTAAGTATGTAATATCTGCAATAATAAAGTTTCTCCACAGAGATAATATTCCAGTGTCTCTTAAACCTCAGAAATTAAACATGTATTTTGCTCATGTGTAATAAAGTATAGCAACCAGGATGTGCATTAAAAAGATAAGAGATGTTATAAAAAATGGATTGTTAGTAAATGAAATATTTGCAAGAACTGGTGCATTCACAAAAATATCTGAGACTTTTTTTTTTTGTATTTTCTATTTTCTGTATTTTTCTATTTCTTCTATATGAAAAACTTTACCATGATAATTGTGACAGCAAGAACTAGTTCTTAAAAAAAGGAATGGATAATTGAAGTGAAAACTAGAGATTTAGGTGGGCAGTTAGTAGATGTTTGCATGTGTTAATCTACCACAATCCAGTTTACATTCACAGCATATTTAAACTATTTGCAGCTAGCTGTGAAAGACTGCAAGCCAATGTTAGTAGATTCCTACCATTACACTGCTTTCTGCATAGCAAATATTGAATGCAGAGTGCACAAAAGTACAGTATTTACCTCTGTTAATTCTGTGTAGCAGTAGATACTATAATGGTATTTTGGTAAAGATAGTTCTAAACTGTACCTTTCTAAGCGATAACTCCACATTTGTGTCTGCACTGAAATTATATTTGGCAATAGCTTCTCCAATCTCTCCAATCTGTGCAGGGGGAGGTGGTCTGGCAGGCTGTGCTTTTTCTGGGGGGGAAAGTTTCTAAGGAAGAAGAAGAAACAGGTTTTCATCATTCCCATGCAGTTTGTGGACCTATTACCCAAACTAATTCAAGGAATTAAAACAGAGAACAAACCTCGACATAAGAAATTGGGAATATTCCAACTCTTCCATGGTGCTCACCCTCATACCAGTTTTGATCAATTTTCCTGATGATATAGACAGTATCTCCTTTCTTAAAGGACAGTTCTCTGTAAAAAGTATATTTGGATCAGATGTTCACAGTTTTACATTTAACTCCTCTACCTGCATAGTTTCTGAGATCTTTACAGTTCGGAACTAAAACAGAATGTAGCAACTAAACATTTGAGTAAGTGGTGTCACAGCTGTGGTACATCTACCAGTTGATTATACAGTATAAAATGAAATTATTCACATTTATGAATCTCAGGTACTACCTGTAAGTTATATAGGCTTGTTTTACACTGTGATTCCAAGGAAGTATTGCCAGCTATTACCAGAACACTTAGCATAGGGTCTGCATGCAAGCATGATGTCTTTTGGATCGCCTGTTTAGATGCTGCTTTTGTGATGGACACCTGAGGGGTGTTTGGTGTTCTTTATGAAAGCAACAGCGAAAACTATAGAATATATCCCCCGTTTCTACAGCCTGTTACCACCTTTTTGCAGCAGCACAGCTTGGTGTGCTTCTGCTCTATGCATTTTTCTTTCAAGACAGCTGTTCAGAAGCATGAAGAACACAGGATTACTGTTCTACCATTTCTGATGCTTGGGGCCTGTGATATGCTTAATGTCGGATATCAAAAAAGAGAGTTATCCAAATCATTAAGAACATTTTCAGATCCTGGCCTGAGAGTTCTTTGCTGTATCATCCATTTGTTTTTTCAAGAGCTAATCTGCTGTTCTGATTATTCAAGTTGTGAGTTTTCTACCAGATGCAACTCATGTAATTCTAGTGTCAATGTCTGGCCATATCTTCAGATTTTTAAAATGCCCTTGTTCATCAGAAAAAACAGCAGGCATTAAACTTAGGCACTCTACAACTTTCTCATATCTTGAAACAGCATTTCCTTATTTTGCTTTTATTACGGACCACTGTGGTTTGTCTTGGTATGGGACATGTCACATTCTGCAGAGAGCCCGTGTATGTTAAGACAGACAGAAGATGCTGAAGCATTATACGGAATTTTGATAAGCACACTATATATCTATGACAGTATTTTAAATACTGTACCTTGTGTAACCTAAATACAGTTCATGACAAATGAAGAGCGTTCGGTGGTTGACCCATGCTCTAAAAGGCTGAAGATGCACAGCCATCATGTCTTCAAACAAATACGGGGGAGAATATAATAATTTAAGACATTTTTATTACAAAATAACTTCTCACACAGTTTACTAATGCAGAGACTACTGGGACAGCAAGCAGGGTCCTCTGCTTCCATGGCATTTGCTGTTGAAACTAGCTAGAATAGCCACAAGTGCTGGAAAGAGTTTTCTTGAATTATGAATTCTTAAATGAACAAAAATCTAATACTTACTTAGCAGTCTGAGCTTTAAAGTCATATACAGCTCTAGCTGGCAGTTTCTGAAAAGCAGGCAAAGTGATTAATACATTCAGGTAGTATTACTGTATGGTAAACACATTTCAGCTTTTTAAAAGGTGACCAAGATCCAAAAAGAAAAGGACACATGCCTTACAGTGGTTCTTGCAGTAACAGGCAATTAAATACACAGCTTCCTTTTTTAAGGCAATTTGGTGTTTGGGATTTAGCGTTTTAAAAATAGAAACAGCAGCTCAATTTTAATACAGACCACTTCGCAATGTTGTGCCTAAGAGAACTACGAAAGTAAAAAAAGTTAATCAAATGCCAATGTGACTAGTAGGCAACTAGATCTCTAGGTACAATGGAAATTCACGTGCTTAATCTCTAATGCTTTAGATGTCTCTTGTGTTCAACTTATTGTCTTTAGGCTAATTTCAACTGCAAATACTGCATCACATTTATTTTATATATACATAAAGGGAAAGTTACTCTAACAGCTGGAAAAGGTTGGGAATAGTCTAAATTTCTATAATCACATTCATAGTTTTAAGAAAGTCTGAGAAACACAGATTGGAAGTGATCTCCTGAGTCATCTGTGCAGCTCTTTTGCTATCAAAGGCAATTACATCATATAATTCCTTTCATATATTTATCAAGTTCTGTCACCAAGTATCTGTAAGCTCAATATTGTTTCAAAAATAAAACTGTAAACCATGCCTATCTCTCCTCACCTGTGTGGTTAATACTTATACTTTCACTGTTTTCAAAGCTGTGCTGGAAACACAAACTGTAATCTGGCCCAAGAGTATCATTCATCTAGTGTCTGCCTCTGATAGAAAACCAGCACTAGATACTTAAGAGGAAGGTGCAAGAAGTGATTAGCAGTGTTATGTGAGGATATTTGGTAAAATGGTTTAGTTTTTCTCTGAAGTACTTGTGCAGGTGAGATTGCCACATTTTAAGAAATCTCTCTCTAGGATATACTAGCGAGTAGTGATTGTGCGATTTCTGAGAGATACTATTTGTAATGATGTAAGGATGCATGTCTTTTTATAAGAGGAATAAAGAAAGACACTTAAGTATTGCATTTTACCTTTCTTCCAGGCCGGATGTTCTCGCCAGGGTTCTCTCCCTTTTTATCATCTACAGGCTAGCAAATTTAGCATACCCAGAGCATGGTCTTTGCTTGAATGGCTTGTAGTGTAAGTATTTTACATACTTCCAAATTGAAAGATGACTTTCACTGTCACAGAATTCTTTAAAAGGAACATGCAATATGGCTCCTGTAACTTTTTGAACCTTTATTTTTGTAATGAGCAGTCTTTTTTTGAAACCAGACTTTTAATCGAATTGCAGCAGTATAACCATGTCAGTGGGGTGTAAGTGGATCTGAATTCAGATGTTGTTCTAATCTGTACCATCATTTAACAAGGTAGATGGTTCAGAGCAAAAACTTAAATATTAGCAACTAAAATACAGTCCTCTCTTATGCTGACATTATTTGTGCAATATTTTAATAAAAATAAATGGAAAATATTAAAAATCTATGGTCTGTAGAAGCTGGTTAATATAAACGTACTTTATGATTTAATAAAATCCCTGAAGCCTGTCTGGAGAGCATTTATAGTTCTAGATCTAGAAACATTAAAATATTGAACGATATGCTCAATTTTTTTAGTGTGTATTCTTTTGAGTGATGCATTATGTTACTTTAAAGGTTGTATGCCTGCTTCCATTTCCTCTTCCAAGGCATTAATACAAGCAATTGGTATATAATTACAATCACCAGCTGTTACAGAAATTAGAGATCACTCTTGGGAGAAGTGGTTTTGCCTAACACACTAACAGCAGTGGTTTTGCTTTTTCTAAACAAATAATGGTGAAATACAGATGCTCTTTGTATCAGTTTTGAAATTACTGAGGCAGTTTCTTTGTGTAACACAGTCCGGTTCTCAAAAGAGCCTTTCCCCAGTCACGTCAGCTATTCTCTGTGCCGAACACCCAGTCTGGTCAGCTTTGACAGAGCCTATCAATGACTAGTAAACTTATGTCCATATCTATTTAAACATAAAGAGAAGCAGCTGCTTATCTTACAAAGCTTGATATATTATTTCACTTTCTTGAAATACCAATCTCCTTAATGAAAAAGAAGGATGTTGTCCTATCTGGTATGGTAAGTAACTGTTCCTTTGGTCTATCATTAGAGTGTCTTAAAACAAACAAATGTTACCCATTTTCCACATGGATATTGCTGCATTATTTATTGTTATTTCACTACCTCTTTGTCTGTAGTTCCTCTTCTCTCCCTTGGAGTACATCGTCCCATGTCAGTGAAAGCAGAATAGCTTCCAGGAGACTCCTGGTCTACTGAAAACAGAAATTGTGTGAAACTATGGTAAATTAAACAAAACCATTCAAATTGGTGATGCTGCTTGGTTTCATTTAGGGGGGTGAAGAGATATTGAAATCTATTATTTTAGCTTTAATAGAGAAAAGAGCATATTATATGAGGCTGTCCTCTGATCCACAGCAAAAGAGTATATGATAGAAGATTGGGAGAAGGAAATTGTGCCTCACTGTATGAAGGAATACACCCCTACTGGACCAAAGGGAAGACATGATAGCAGTACTGGGACTTCATCAGGTTGCAAGAAATTGTTTTGGAATGCCAACAATGCAACCACATAATTACATGCACAAAACATGATTAAAGCATGCTTCAATGAGAAAATGGTGAAGAAAAATTTTTTCCTCTTAAGTGATCTAAGATGCATTTCTACTTTACCAGGGGCAGGGGCAACTCTTAGGCAGCACAAGGGAATTTAAAAGGATATTATTTATAAAAACAACTCTGCTTTAAGAGATGGAGTACAAATCATTACTCACCAATCTATGTGGCAGATTTTCTCTAAAGCACAATTAAACAATGTTTGTTACAGGATGGTATACTATAGGATGGTGAATATATCTTTTCATGTTTTATTAAAAATAAAATTAGTCTTACACTCTTTATAGCTCTACAAGTTGCCAATGTGAAATGAAAATATAATGGAATTATTTCAGGCCAGAAGACGGAATGAACTGCCTGTTGACTTCTGAGATTTACTATTTTAGTCTCCTCCTGCAACAGTGATACCTGCTAGTGGAGACATAGGACTGATTATTTCTCTTCCTTTGGCTTAATTCGCACAATCTGTTCTTACAAAGCCCATACATTTCTGAAGAAGTACAAGTGGAAAAAGAAGAATTGAAATAATCTCATCCATTATATGTTGGGGTCTCACAGAAGAAAGATGTAAATGGTCTTCAGTGGGCTGTTGGCTATGCCACAAAAACTTGAGGCTGTTGATAAATA